AGTAAAGGTAACTCGGCTCTACAATCATCAGCAACGTATCTTTTCCCACAGCGCAAAAATACATTAGAAGAGCGTTGCAAGCTCATAATTTAGGCCCACGAGATCTATGCTGACGTATGTTCGCGTGTCTGTACTGCGGGCTGCGTGCTCTCCGTCTGCCTGGCCTCTCGCCCGCATGAACAGTTTCTCTTCTTCGCTCACTCGAGAAATATTTGAAATTGTAGAAGTCACACTTGAGGCGTTTTCTGTCCCCCCCCCCATTTCGTATCTTGACAGTACTATCCAAGACTGACCCCAAACCACATCCCGAAAAACAGCGCGCTGCTTTTTTTACTCGAACATGACGCAGATTGCGTTTTTCTTGAGATCTTTTCATTTAAGACACCTGTCATTCTGTGTTGCGCTGGACAAATACATCATTACAGCTGTCTCAAAACAGCAATGTCCCAGCGCCGCTGCCTTTACGCCTGAACGGAGTACGCAGTCACGCCCTCTCTATCTTCAGGATATGATGTGTGGTCGCAAAAGGTGCCTTCAAAACAATAAAACTTAAAAACAAGTTATATACATATTGGGTAGGAGGCTGGCGAAATAAACATTCAAAGGATCGATCAAATCAAGTGAACCGAGGAGAAAGTAGGTAAAAACAAAACCATCAATCAGTAGAAACCGGAAATCTCAAATAAGAAGGATAAGTCAGATATCAACCGGTGACTGTAAAAAAGGAGACAAAAACGTAGGGAGTAAAATTGAAAGGCAGCACTTAAGCGGTGATTTCGTAAAACAATCAGATTCATAAAGCAAGCTCTGAAAACGACTTCTGAACTTCCTCGCTGAATTTCGAAGTTCATTTTCGACCCGAAAGTACAACTGCGAGGATAATAGCAGCCACAATGAGAAGTAGAATCAGTATAACAACGCACAGAGCCACCATAATCTGAAAATATGCATTTATTCTTTATGAATACTTTAACTTATCGATAGAAAGTAGATCACAAGGGAAGTAACTCCTCAGTGAGCTATGGAGTAGACTTCTGATGCAGGAACAGATTTTACAATTCCAATTGTGCACTGAGTTTAATGGGAATGGCGTTCAGTAAATTTGATTGGATGCAGATTATCATGAACTTTGGCCTTGAATGAAGATGAAAATCATAGAATAATCCTCTCGTTTGTGAAGCCTCCCGCATTAACCATACAATTAACTAATTACCGTACGATGCACGAAGAACGGCCAATTACGTAATGGCCTGGTTATGCGTTGCCGACGAGATTCCGCGAAACATATGACGGATTAGTTTGCCCGAATGTAGGGTATAAAAAAATCGAAATAATATACTGCAGAGAACCCAATCTCATATGGTAGAGTACAATGCCTTTCAGGTCAAAAAAACGACGGCATGAGAATTATATTAATGGTTTTTCAAAGCCACACACGTGTTTCTGCAAAAGCCACGCTCGCTATAGGAATGGGTGGGACAAATAGAATCCACAAGTTTTCTTTACTAATGCTGCCAGGTACGGTGGCCGATTGAATGTGCGTGTAATTGCGTCCAGCAATTTTTCTGAGCTGTCTGCTTTGCTTACCTCGCTGAGCACTTTTCTAACCCTACTACCACACGTACTACTCTGTCAGGGTTAGGCTGCATAGTGTGCTTTGAATCGGAACATGCAGTCTGGCACAGGACACAAAAGCTGATGTGAAATACAAGTGGGGAGGAGGGGGGGGGTGTCATAACTTGGCCGCTACGGGGAGAAGAGGCTCTTCAGAGATAATTATTGATAGTTGATTTTTTTATCGTGGCTTTAGATGCTCATCCTCAGAATAACCTCCTATTGGGGGAATCCCAATAGGAGGTTATTCTGGTTAGTGGGGAGGGGGGGGGTCGTATGATTCCGAGTGCAAGGAAAGGCTTTACTGGCGCAGTTCGGCAGCGGTGGGAATTTTGCACTTTTGCCACTTCTCTACGTATCGAGCCATCGAGAGAGCCACACGGGAGTTGCCAGGCTTTATCATGGTGGCTGAAAGAGCTTATTCCAGGGACAAGAGTTCACTGGTTTCGCCGGAGTGAGACTTGTAAACCGGAACTAGAAGCTGCGCGAATGCAAACTGCCACCCCCTCCCCCGTCGCGGAACGTCGCCGGCTTTCCGTTTGTGAAATGTCCTCCGTTTCACTAATTAGACAGCGGAACAACTGGACTTTCCCCGTAGACTCCTCTCAATGCGCATTCGGCTCAAGCAAGGACTCGGAAAGGGACTTGTTCGCTGCAGATGCTGGATCGCCCCAGGGGGTCGATTTGGCGAGGCCGCAGCTCCATTTTCCACCAACTGTTGTCGCTTGCTCGCTCCAGTGACTGTTAGAGAACGCATTGGCGCCACGCCAAACCCAGCGCCTCTTACACGCCCTGGCACGTGCAGCGGACAAGACCGTATTGAAACCATCACACCTCTCTTTGTCACAACAAGTAAACAATAAAACATAATAGTTCAATCAAGTTCCCCCACTTCTTCTATTTTGAAGAGATGTAAGCAAAACTGACCTTTTCCGAGTTGGCGCTTTCTGTATCAATCCGACTTGGTTTCGCCCTTTATTACTTACCTTCGGGTGTGCCACGATTACCTTATGTTGTCCCAATATCGCCTAAAAATTTTTTTCGCAATTATTTCTATGAAACAGCACAACATAATGAAGATCTCTTAAAATTGGAAGCTATTCTCTTTGGGAAACGGCCGTGTGTTCTGTGGAATCACCTGAAGTACCTTCCTTCCTAAGGACATTCTCAGGCACCAAAAAAGGTTGAGTGATGCCATATGATAAAAGTAAAGTAAGAAAGAGGAAAAAAGAAGTTTCAACTTCGCATAAATAATGCTCCTAGCCCGACCCCGAAAACGAAATAAAAACTAAGCTGTCGATTTGAAATCTTCCGCTTCGAGATGTGCCTGTCTCTGTTTTAATGTAAAATCGTAGACCCATTCGAAGGGATCCAAAACATGCCGTAGGTAGTATGTTCACTGGTATCTCTTCGTAGTTCTGGGGAAACTTTTGCACTGACTGATCACAGAAAACAGACAGTAAAAATTAAAAAGAAGGAATTGTAGGTGGTGCATCTGGGAAGAAAAGTTCAAATTTTTTAGCGTTGACGTTTATGAACAAGGGGACAAAGCAAGTATGGTGCAAAGATCTTTAGATCAGTGACAAGTGACCGACGATTGATTGGTTTGATTAGAACCTATTCATTGGAGATATGAAGAGTTAAATGGAAAAAGAAAAAGTGAAGAATGAAGGAAGTGGAGGAAAACTAATTGTGAAACGAAAAACAAAACAAGGATAGTGATTGAGAGGGAGAAAATCAGTAGAAGGGGACTGAACTAATGAAATACGCGTGACAGTGTTCGGCAGAGTAGTGAAGAACACAGGACTTCAAAGACAGACTCCACGCTCGAGAAACTTGTAAGTAGTGTCCTCCCTTCTACAGGTAGCCTGGCCCCCAATCTCTGAGATAATTTCACTTTCGCGGCTTGGCTTCTCAGTAAGTGACAAAGGCGCTGTGGCCCCCAGAACTGGCATTCCCGACGCCTCCCTGGTTCTTCCGCCCACCGAAACTCAAGGGCAACTGCTGTCCTGAGCCCGTGTTTTTCGTTTTTTTTTCTGTTAGATAGTAGTTAGCACTGAATGACGCGAAGAAATGATTAGTGAGGCAGAGGCGACAGGTATCGCTTTTGCTGGCATAAAACGGGCAGGTTTGGAAACTCGTCCAAGGAAGCTGGCAGGTCCTTACTTAGGGTGTTCTCCATGGTTTTTATTTGTTTTTCTCTTTCCCGGCCCGTCACTTAGAAATTTTACATTTGTGATCGAACGCCACTATCCACAGCATGCCCAGCATGGTCTGTATTATAATGAAAAGAGGGCATTAGGCAACCAGAGCAGGAAATGAACGATGAAGAGTAAGAGTTGAGTAAAATATGAGAAATTGGAACCAAAAGAGTAGATTTCAACGAATACAGTCGTTTTACGAGATCACACTGCCATTTACGTGCTTTCACAGGTGAAGGTACAAGTCTATCGAACAGTACAACTTGTCAGAGCTGAACTAAGATTTCCGAAACTGATGACCTACATAAGGCCGTGAATGTTGGCTTTGGTACTGATGTTTCTCAGTCAGGCTCCTATTAAAAACCTTCGCAGCGATCCTTCCTGCTAGGCGTATTTAACCTGTGTATAGTCTGTAACACTGCGATCTGTCGAGGGCGGCGAGCGCAGCGCGGCACGAGCTCGTCCAGCTGCCTTGCTCTACCAATGGTGATCGAGCAATGATCGATGTAGGAAGGAATCAGCCACTGGTGGGAAGGCCGCAGGTGGGAACCGCTGATTGCGACCCGACAGTCCACGGTGATATAAACTGTAAGTGACCGACGAGTGACCAGTGAGTGACCGATACGTGACCACATTTGAATGATGGAGGAAATCAGTAAGGGATGAAATTTTTTAGCAGTGCATTTTACAATGCTGGATGGAGGGCTCCGAGTCCAGCCAAATCGAGAATGAATCATTGTCGCGAGACAATCTTTCCTCGAAAACTACGTGTACGGTCTAGGGTTGAGCCTAGCACGGTGAAGTGCCGCCTACCATAGTCAGGTGTAG